AAATAATGGCTTATGACCAATTCTTCTCTTCTCCTTGTTTATTTTCAACCTGATGTCCAAGTTCATATTCATTGGAAAAGAGCTTGTGAAATCGTTTTGGCTTCACACAAAGGCTTTGTGGACGAAAGTAGTAATGTGACAAATTGAAGACGAGGTTTGTGAGAACCGAACACTTTCATGGTTTTCATTGTCATCAGTCTTTCACCTTGATCACTATCCTTGGTTTTGTGGGGTTCACAACACTTTTGAGTAACTTGTGTCGATAGTTTTGTTGTGCTTTTCCATTACATGTAAAGTAAGTTCCTGCAGATGTTTACTGCGTGGTCTGGTTGAGATTAAATTGTACATGTAATTGTCTGGTTGCGGACTTCTTATTTTAAAAAGGTTATGGAAGACAAGGGAGCAAGAACTTTACAATGCGTAGCATTAGCATAAACCTATGAGGTTGACAAAATCCCAACAAGCGATGAGCTCTTAAAGTGGGTACTCCCAGGGGATGACTTCTGTTTGCCAGCTATAGTCGGTATAAAGGTAAAAAAGCTAACAAATACTTTATTTCTGCATGTTGCTTTTTATATGGAGAGTACTAAAGATTGCATTATTGCTTTCTTTTTATAGAATGTGTTAGAGCAAAGTATAATTTTTTTGTTGAATTAAGTTTTCTTCTTTCAAAATTGTTTGTCCTTAACTTCTCTTACTTTGAACTAGATGCCATGCAAAGCATGATTTTAACAATTTGGTTTTAGGGTATCTCATTTTGGTTATACACATTCACGTGTTTTGTTTGATATTTCTGTTTTTTCCATCAACCTGTTTGTTTCTGTTGTCTTCTGGGTGGACAAATCTTATGGCAATTAAGTGATTAATTGTTGACTTTCATGTTCGAATGGTAACTCACGATAACCTCGAAACTGCTAAAGCTATCGCACTGGAGATGGAGATCCACTGAACCTAATCTCACTGAAGGAAACGCTTTTCGATTCTTATCTGATTCCGAGAGAGAAAAGGTAGCTGATAAGATATCGGTATTTATCACCTAATGCTACTTACCAATTCTTAGTATGTAAAAGTTCGAATATTGAATGTCATGATAATTCTGTACATTTCCATATTGCTACAAGAAACAACATAAGGAGCAAGTCAGGGTATAGCTTCTGGATTGGGATTGGTCTTTGTCCCGAGCATTACAAACATAATTTTGTTAGTTGGACACTTGAAAACTACTACAAGAAACAACATAAGGAGCAAGTCAGGGTATAGCTTCTGGATTGGGATTGGTCTTTGTCCCGAGCATTACAAACATAATTTTGTTAGTTGGACACTTGAAAACTAACATGGTTGCTTTGTGCGTGCGAAAGGTTTTGGGGAGATCATCGCC